AACTCCTGGGCTCAAGCGAGTCTCCTGCCTCTGCCTCCCAAGTAGCTGGGACTACAGGCACCTGCCACAGCATTAGGCTATCTTTTGGTTGCAGCTGTTATTGTTGTTTGGCCACCCGGGCTGGATTCGAACCCGCCACCTTAGGTGTATGTGTCTGGCACCTTAGCCACTTGAGCCACAGGCGCCAAGCCATGCTGGCTTTCTTGATGAGTTTTCAGGGCCCATTTTAATTATAAGACTGACAACTTTACCTGGTTGTAATGAAAATAATTCTTGGCAGTGCTTCCCCAGTCAAAGGCTTGAAGCTTTTGAAATCTAACAGTCTAAAAATAAGAAAATTGGAAACAAAAGTTAGTTGACACAGAAGTTTAAGATAATATCACAGGTTGTTGGAGCTAGCCATGTCCTCAGAAATCGATGTTATACCAGTATCTAGATTTACTCTTCATTTCTGAACCATTATTTTAAAATAAAATGGTATTGTTTTGTTCTGCTTGACTAAATGACTCAATTTCTCATTTTATGATTGGAAAGTAGCTACTACCTGACACAAGATGCTTTAATTTATTGAGTCAGGGGCTTCTACTATTAGAGAAACTTTATGTGATGTTTTCCACTGAAATTTGCATGTTAAACTTTTTCAGAGAGTGAACAATTTTACTTGACGTATATCTATGCATATATATAGTATACAATTTGGCTGTCCATACCCACAAGTTCCACTTCTGCAGACTCAACCAACCAGTCTCTTTTCACAGACTGAAAATATTCAGGGAGGGGGTAACAATAAAAGATAACAATAGAATATAAAAAATAAAAACTACAATATAGCATCCCTTTACATAGCATTTATATTTTACTAGTTATTATTAATATAAGTAACCTAGAGAGGATTTAAGGTATATGGGAGACTGCACACAGGTTATATACAAATACAATCCCATTTTATATAAGGGACTTGAGCAACTACGTATTTTAGTACTGGGGACAGGCCTGGAGTCAACCCCTTGAGGATACCAAGGGACAATTAAATATTTTCTGCTTTTCCACCCTACTTGTCTAGTTATATTATTCTTTCATGTTTTAATAATTTTGTTGATTTAATATTCTTTCTTGAGTATTCTGTCAGTATAATCACCAAATTATGCTGCAATTCTAACTAGTTAGGGAGAGTAGAGCCATGAAATGACAATGTACACGAAATTACATTTATGCACAGTGAAAAGAGTGCGATATGAAAATTTACATGCTTGTAAAACTGGAAATCTTGTGAATCTGTATTTGCTCTACACTGCCAAATTAAATATATGTCAAGAACGAAGCCCAAAATCGACACGCCAAATGAATTGGCAACTGCACATTTTGGCCACACGGTGGCGCCAGGTAAAAAGAAATACCCAGACATTCTTTGTCAGAACTGCTTTGGATTTATGCGAAGTTTCAGTTTCTCTCAATTGTATAAAATTCTACTATTTGACATAATAAAAGTGTAAGATTAGATACTACTGGAGATTGCTACGGGATGAATGTTGAGCATCTGCTTTTGCCATTGCAAATGACAGATATTAAACATGTGGCATATTTATCAAAGAGAAAAAAATACAAATTTACAGCACCTATTGGCCTGTCTATTTCCCCTATCTCTAATTGTCGGTGAAAAAATGTCAATGCAAACTACCCTGCCATTGCACAGACACATCAATTCCCCATTTGTCAGCATTCATATAAAGCACCAGGACTGACTATAGAATACAAATGAAAAACTTGCCTCAAAATTAATTTTCTAACCCTGACTTTTGTGCTCAGAGTCACTTAGGACTTCAAGCGAGCCACTTAAAAGGGCATCTCAAAAAGAAGGAAGTGTGACAAACAGTATTTGTAATAACAAAAACAAAAGCTGTAAGTCTAATAATAGATATCCAGGTAAATAGAATATGTTCCATCAAAATACACTGTGTGCCTCTGTTATGAGTATAAATATAATAAAATGAAAATGTTTTTAAATGATTTTCATAAACAATACTAAGTGGAAAAAGTCAAGAAATGAAATTGAATATGCACTAAGGTTACACTTCTGTGATAATCCTATGTAGATAAATATCAGGAGGAAATGCTAACAGTATTAGGATAATTTTAAAGGAACATTTTTAAAATCATATTTAGTTCTTAAAAGAGAATTAAGATGTAAACAGGTTCAGCTTTCCTAAAGTATAATATGCATCAGAAATCTTAAAAATATGCTACCTCTCACAAAAATTCTGTTTCCCTTACAGAAGAGGGGAAAGTCTTCAAAGAGGAAATAACTGATGAATCCAACTACTTACCGGTACCTGATCTTTGACAAGCCAATTAAAAACATTGAGTGGGGAAAAGATTCCCTATTTAACAAATGGTGCTGGGTGAACTGGCTGG